TTCCATGCTGCTGAACTGAAAAAAAGCCCACAACATGTGAATGAACTCAAGTTGGACAGTGGGTATTGGCTAAGTTATCACTAATGTCACCGTTTCATCCACCAACAGTGGGATGCTGATAAGCCCCAGAGGTGGCTGAGCTCACTGGAAGGATGCAGAGAAGCAGCCCCAGCACCCACCAGCCATGCCCTGGCTCCCCAGCAAAGCAACCCCATCTCTACTTCAGTTGCCCAATTAAAAAGGAGAGAGCATCACACAGCAGTCTCCCACATTAGGATCTTGAGAGGAAAGGATGTTACTACTGTGCTATAATGAACACTCCTTTTGTTTGACATTAGTTTTGAAAACTATTTCATTTTCTTCCTTTTTCTTGCCAGAAACACCAAATAAAAGGACAAAAGTTGGGGCAAGTGGGGATAAAGCACCTTTTGCATCATACTGAATGAATTGTATGTCACACAGACATGTTATATCCACGTACAGTGGATAAGGCCAGAGCTGGCATCTGGGTTAGGAGATGTGTTTTGAAACACAAATACGTTGCAAAATAGTGCTGCGATTGCTGCATTCATCTGGTGGGAGAGTTGCTGCAGCTCCTTCCCTCGGTCTGTCTTCACTGGTGGGGCTGAGATTTTCCCAAGTGATGTGGAATGTGCTCAGTTAACGGACAGATGGGACCTTGCACACAGAAAAAAATTGTGTTTTATTTAAAAACTGAGCTTCAATTACCAAAGGGAAGAAAATTAACTGCAGGAAGATGAAATAAACACCCTTCTTTGGGGTCAAACAGGCGTTATAGTCGTGTGATGTAAAAGCCAGATCTCACACTGACTTAGGGGACTTTGCAGGCAGCTCCAAAGCTCAGAGTTGGTCTTTCCCAGTCATTAATAAAAGACAAAGCCAACATTTGCTTTTATAAACCAAAGAATAACTTATCATTTCACTCGTTGTTTGGGGTATTGTGTGTTTTTTGGTAGGGATGTGCCAATTTGTCAAGCCCTTCATTTTTGGAAAGAATTTATCTGTGTTGAGACAACTGCTGTTGGCAAAAGCTAATTCCATGTACTGATGGAATTCGGAGGCAAAGTAAGAAAAAGAGACCAAAAAGAGAGAAGGCGCATCCCCAGGAACCTTATCAGTGAGAAACAGGAGAGAGCCACAGTCAAGCTGCTGTGCCAATAAAATATTAATTATTCATACAAATTCTCATGGAGAACAGACAAAACCCAACCCCTGGGTGACCATGAGCTTCCTCACCACCAGCGAGGTGGGAAGGCGGCCGGGCAGCTGGATGCTGGGAGGTGCTTGGCTTTTCCAGGAGCTCCTGGAGATGGAGGTGGTGGAGGATGCTGGGAGCGTAAATGAGGTGCAGGGCTCGGTCAGTTTGGCTTCATCCCAGGAAAGCAAAGCATCTGCGGGAAGAGAAAACCTGGTTGACCTGGCTCTTGTCACAGGGTACTGTCCAGTCTTTTGGTTTGAGATCAGATTTTGGCCCAAAGCAAACCAGAAATCAATAAAAAAAAATAAATAATGCTCCAATTGGGTCAATAATCTGCATTTTTAGTTGGGTTTTTTTAATATTATTAGGAATATTTATATTACAGTAGCTTGGTATTTTAGAAGGCTAAAAATGCATTTTTATATAATCAGCATTTTTAAAAGTCTATAAACATCCACTATGTTTGCCTAATGTACTATAAAAGCTTCCAAAGGAGCTGTTATTATCCAACTTGTCACCTCACACATGCTCCGAGGAGGAATCTCTCTTTTTTTTCCCTGTCTGCTGTTAATAAAATGAAGCAAACCATTAACAGCTTTGGAGCTGCAAGGAGAAGTAAAGGGGCTTGTAATCTTGGACTCCAAAGGAAACGTCTGCAGCTTTGCTCCTCTCCTCTTTGAGATTCCCCACACGCAACAACAATTTCAAACAGACAAAATCAGTTTAGGTTACATAAATTCAAAAGCCCAGGCCTGCTTCTTTTAAAGTAACATCTTGCATTTTGTTTGGAGCGTTGCAATCTCTCACATAACATTTCGAACTGGTTCAGTTTTACAGCCTGCCGTGCATCTTCCTCAGGCTTCTTTGGTTAAAGGAGCTTTAATGCAGAATGATGATGTGCGTTCACACGTGCATTATTATTACATATGCACATGAAGATAGGTATATGTGTATATATGTATGTGTGTAGGTAAATATATATATACATATATATACATGCAAAGTCTATCAGTCTGTGGTGGTTGCACATTCAGACCCATCTCTCCCGGCATTCTGCATGCCAAACTCCCAGTGTTATTAGTGCATGGTGCAGGCTCCAAACCAAGTCCTGATGAAAAGATGCAATGCATTTGAGAGAGAAACATGGATATTTTAGTCCTTGCAAGCTCCAGGGTGAGTGTGGTGTAAAGCAATTAGTGAAGGGAGGAAATCTGTGTGCAAAGAGCAGGTTTGTGTTCTTAACAATCTCTTCATTCACATCTCTGAGATTTGCTTTTGGTTCATCTCTGTTTATAGTTTGCTCCTGTTCCCAACATATCTTAGTGTTGGGATGGATTCTCAACCCCAGGGAACCTGTCAGGGATGTGATAACAACTCACTCAATCCAAAGAAGGGCACAATTGTGCCTGTGATAGCAGCGGCTCTTAACAGCTCCCCTGCTGCTGGTGGTGGGTTCTGCTGGAGCACGAGGAGCTGCTCCTCAAGGGGACTCTGTGATTTTGGATGGGGCTGAAAATAGCATGAGAACTTGTCGCTTTTGGCACTTGGGTTCTCAAATCCCCCCAAGATGCACTCAAGAGGGTAACAGGCAGTGAACTACCCCTGTGCTGGCTGGTATTTTGGGTAAAGCCCCCACTGGATGTATTTGGGTGGCCCTGGGGTAAGCCAGTGTGCAGAAGGGATTTTGTGGGTTCATTTGGGAAAGGGCATGGTGTAGGAAAGCACTGAAATTCCAGGATGATGCCCGAGGGGGAGCAGCTTGGACATCCCTGCAGTGATGGAAAAGAGAAGGAATTAAAACCCAAAGGATGTGGTTTGTGCCACTGCAGGAGATTCTTGGCTGTTCTGCAGCGAAATAACCTGAAGGTGCAAAGGGGGACACTGGTGGTCACAAGGACCACGTTGGGGCACAGGAGTGAGAAGCATGGCCTCTCGTTACTGCTGTTTCCAAGTTTGTACCCTAGGGTCGGACACAATGTCCTGAGCACTGCTCTGTGTTATGGCCACTACAGTGATGGTTCTGGCACCTCAGAGACACCAGACTTCCTGGGTTTGCTGCCACACACCCCGTCCTGGGCTGTCTGGACCGCGCTGGTGTGGAATAGCCTGTCCTTGGGACTGGGCGGGCAGAGGGAAATCCATGTTCCCAGTGTGGGCTCAGGAGAGCTGCCGGCTCAGACAGAGCAAGAGCTAAAGCAGCCCAGGACAGGGAGCAGACCCGTCAGCCACTGTGGCTATTTCTGGCAGTGCCCTCGGAGCTGGGGAGTTCAGACATCAGGGCATGGGGAAGCACTGCTGGGACCTCCTGGGAGCCCTTCCCACCTCGTGGCACTATGGGGTGGTTCCTGCTGGCGTTTCCCATCCTTAGATGACTTGCTGTCAGCTCCCAACAAGTACAACACCCTCAGGCGAGTGTTGCCTGACAGTCTCACGTGATGTCCTAAGTGGAGGTATCCGTCGGGATCAGCATTGCCGGGTCTCTGTGCGGCAGTGCCCAGACCCTGTGGCTGGGTGTCTCTATTATGTGTCGCTCCACATTCATTGACTGCTGATGGGAACAGAGGGTCTTGGGCATCTCATTGGGGTTCCTACCCTGAGCATCCAAACAAGCGTTGGCAGGTACTGGTCCCTCCAGACCCGATCCCTCAAAGCCTGCCCATGGCAGTGGTCCATCAACATGAAGTGCTCTTGAGAGAAAGGAGGTGACATGGACCTTCTGGATGAGGTGGCATGGTATTAGAGACCTGGTGTGGTTAGGCCAGGAGGGGGCATTGGATACAGGAGGTGTTTCAGGATGGAGGTCTGCTGCAAATAAGCATTGAATGCAGCCAATGCCGTTTCTGTCATCATTTATGTGCTCTCTCAAGGTGACCTCCTCAGGGTTCTGCTGTCCTGACATCTCTACGTTGAAGCTGGGCCTAACTCAAGTTTCTAGGCACATCCACCTGCTTTTCTGGGTGCAAGCCAAAGGCAGTGCCCGTGCTGCCAAAACTGGCCCTCCTCAGCGTACTGCTGGGTGAAGCTTTGGAGGCTGGAAAGCTCCCATGACCCCAAGGCCCAGGGGACAGCACTCTGTTGATGACCTGCATTAACCCACCATAACAAGGGGTGTTCTTTAGCTGGCGATGGGGCTCCCCAGTGCTCCCCATGGAGGGCGGAGAGTTCAACACCTTCCCAGCCTTCAGCACTGTTGCAGACACGGCTGGACAACGAGGTACCCAAGACCTTATGGTGAGGAACTTGGCCCCAGTGTGAGGACTTTGAATCCTGGCTCTTCCCTATGTAAGGTGAAAATCAGGATCCCTCGAGCTTCTTCCCCACCTTCTCACCTGGACACCTTTCTACCACAGAGGAATAATTACAAATGGAACAAGGTAAAGGAGAGGAAACAAATGAATACGGGTGCAACCCAAAGGTCTTCCGGCACTGACAAGGTCTCCGCTCCATGTCTCCCAACACCGGTGCTTACCAAACATAGCCAGGGCCCCACGAACCCTCGGGCTGGCGGAGAGTAGTAAGATGAGCTCCTGCTGTATTTGGCCTAGCTAAAAATAGCGGGAGGGGAAAAAAAAGGCAGAGTCAGGACCCTGCAGGACCAGTAGTCAATGGGCTGCGAGGAGTGATTGAACTCCAAATACTGCTCCGCAGGCTCCAGCTGACGGGCTATTTTTTGCCGTGGTTGACTAAATATGGTCAGGGAGGGAAGAGCAGGAGAAGGGGCCACTCGCCCGGGAGTGCGTGTTTCGGATGCTTCGCTGGGTATATAAGCACTGGAAAGGTGGACTCGCTTTCTGACCGGCGCTGCCCCCCCCTTCCCCTCCACCAACCCTCTCCCCCCCCACACCCCGGGGTGTGCACACCCCCCCACTTTGGCATCCTGACCCCCAACCCGGGGGCTGGATGCGGGGTGGGTGTGAGGATGATGATGAGGATGATGATGAGGATGGGGATGGGGGGGGGGGGAGCGCGCAGGCACTTCTGCAGGCGCAGCCCTTTTCGCATCAAGGTGTGCTGCAATCCGGGCGGGCAAGGTTGTTTCTCCTTAACCCGTGCCGCGCTGCGCGGAGCCCCGCGGAGCCCCGCGGAGCCGCGCTCCCCCCGCCCCGCCGCTCGCCCCCGCCGCGCCGCGCTGCCTCCGCCGCACCGCGGGGCCGGAGTTGTGGAGGGCTGGGGATGGGGCTGGGGATGGGGAGGGAGCCTTTGCCTGGGGACTCTTGGCTTTATTATTTCGGTCTTTTTTCTCTTCTCCAAGTGAGGACTAATCCCATCCCCGGGCCTGCTCTCTTTCTCCCTTCCTGCATTAGAGATTGGCTATAAGGAGAAGGCTGACGGCTGCAGCATGAAGCGCATTATTACCTTGTGATTCCATGACCCTCCTCTATGCATCCCTAACTCTCGAAAGCTGATTCAGCTTTCAGCTAGTGCTCTGGTGAGTCCTCTGCTGCAACAGAAGCTCCTAACTGGTATGTCTTTTTTTTTTCCTCCTCCTGCTCCCTTGCCTTGCCTTTAACCGCTCCCAGCTCAGCTTGTTTTTAAACACTTTTCCTGGCCAATGCAGGACTAAGTGCCCATCCAACTTACCCGGGGACTTAAATCTGGGCTTTTGCATCCGGCAAATGTATGTGTGTGTGTGTTGCCTGTGTGTGTCTGTGCAGGGATGTGCTGGGTGTGTGTTTCATGTGGGGATGGGTTAAGAGACCTTCCCCCCCCGCCTTCCCTTTCTTTTTTGTTCTGCTGTGGCATACTCTGCATATAAAAAAACCCCAACAAAACCAAACCCGAACAAACTGCAGAGCAAGCAGTGCACTGGAATAATCTCAACTGAAATGTTAGAACTTTGACATGCAGCCGTTCTGCAAGGTTAAACTGGCCTTTAAATGCCTAATTCAGACACAGGCTGGCTAATGACACCTGGGGGGATTGGGGCTTTATTTATTTATTTGCAACAAACTAGTGCTATGAGCTAATACCAGGCAGAGCAAAAGGGTGAAATGTGGTTAAACTTAGCCTAAACTTGCAATGATCTCAGTGCTGTGGGGTTTAACTGTTAAAATGCTGAGAAATGGACATTAATTAGAGGCGTGTGGTTTGTGGACGAGCAGAAAGGGAATAGGAGGAGAAGTTAGGTTTTCCCTGCAAGGGTTTGGAATTCAGGTTACATGAAGTGTAACATCAATTGACTGTTACAGCTTCTGCAGCTCAGAGTTGACTGTGGTCATTATATTTTATATGATAGCGGTGATACCTTGTCACATAAATATATAGGCATCGGTATTGTGAGATGGATACTGTGACACATACATGCACACAGATTTAAGTGTGTTCTGTAGCATGCATATGGGTATTTTATACATAGTAATATGTGCTATCTATTAGCAGGTGTAACATATCCAAGTACAAGCATCTCCAGGCTGTGTTTAGAATATGGGTATGGGTTTATGTCTGTGCCGGGGAGAGCGTACACTCAGCAGTGATGTGTAATTGTATAGGCAGAGATCTGTGCTCTGTGCTGGGTGGTTTCTCTCGATGGTTGTGTCAGTGTCTCCCAAGGACTGAGCCCTGTGCCCAGCCCACCCCTTTGGCCTTGGGCTGTGCTGGGGCAAGCACATACCTCTGCCTTGGTCCTGCTTGCTTCTCCCTTCCCCAGCATCCAGCCCTAAACACAGGCTCTCTTCAAAGTCCCCAAAGTTTTGTGCTCGACTTTGCCACCAGGACCTGAGCAGCATCTGGAGCAGAGCAGGTATATAATATAATATAATATAATATACAGCACCTTGCTTTCCATTCCTCCCACCATCCTCCTCCCCCTTCACCTCCAGGCAATACCTCAGGCTCTTCCCTTTTCTCTGCCCCTTGGCCTTGGCACTGTCCATGTCTCCATCGATTTTTCTCCCCAGAGAATTTTACTTCCCAGGTTTTTCTGCTGGGAGCAAGCCCAGGAGCACAGCAAGCCTAGGTGGGTCGAGGATGTTGGATGACATTCACCCACCACCACTTGCTCCTGGTGGTAGCTGCAGGATGGGAGCCACAGGGTGCCTCTGGCGTCACCATTAAAAGCTCCATTACGCCATTTATCTGCTTCTTCCAAACCCTGGAAAGCACCAGCTTCCACATGGAGCCTCAAGGCAAATTGAAATGTCCGGGATGAACTTTCTGCCGGGTTTGTGGCATTGTCTTCAGTTTTAAAAGGTCATTTTTCTTTAGCTCTTATATAGTGCTCTTTTAGTGGCTGGCAGTTACTGTCCCGCTCGTTGCAGAAGCTGGGGACTGCTCATGACAACCTATGTCAGATGTATTAGATGAAAGCAAACTAGGCATGAGTTGCAGATGTTTAATGGTCCAAGAAGTCCAGTAGCTCTCCTACTGTTGTCAGTCTGAAGGAAATTCAGTACCATGGAGTGCCTTGGCTGCACAAAACCTCCCACCAGCACTTTGATTTTTGTTGGGTTTGGGTTTTAGTTTTGAATCTTACGCACTCAGACTTTCCCTCACACTCCTCAGCTCTCCCTTTGCTTTAATTTCACTGCAGTCATGCATTACAATGGTGCCACAGCTCCATCTCTCTTCCCCTTAATCCAAACGAAAGGTAGAAATTTGCCTTGGAATGAGGCAAATAATGATGGTTTAAAAGGCCAACAAACTCAGGGAATGGGGAGAGCTGCACCGAGCCAGGACCAAAGCATGTGCTGGTGTTGTATGAGTGGTGTAAAGGCATTTTGGGGGCTGAGAACAGTAGAATTACACCCCGGCTCCGCATGGCCTTTGCTTTTCGGTGGTGCTAGAAGTCAGTGGGTAGCAGGGAAATATTTACTCCCCGTCTGCCAGTGATATTTTATAAAGCAGTGGAAAAGCATCGATGCAATTAGGTATTCCAAAGTGCTTAGTTTGCCACTTGCTAAGTTTACTTAAACCCTCTTTAAAGGGTTCATTAGAAGCCTGTGAGGAACGGTAAAATTCATTAACACCAAGGCAGCCATCCTGCATTTGCCTGTAAATTGGCATCGATTGTGGCGAGGGGCAGCGGGCGCAGGTGAGCTCGCCCTGCCCGCCGTGCTGAGCGAGCAGGCAGCGAGCAGGCAGCGAGCAGGCAGCGTCTGGCGTGACCTCCGCCGTCGCTCCCTGCCTAAATCCTGCCTATAATAGTCTCCCATTCAGCCCGGGTGGCGTTTGCAGCCCTGCCACTCGGCCCACATTGTTCCAGGAGCTTTAAAGCTCAGCGCTGCTGCGGGGAGGCGAGGGACAGGGGGAGAGCTCATGGCTGCGTGCGGGATCCGGCCCCATGGGTGCACGAGCAACCCCACAGGGCTGTGGGAATAACTCAAAGAGACTTTGATCCGAGCTCCCAGCACCTTGCTTTGGCTGCCTTTTCCGTCACGCATCTGCAGGTGTATCCCTGAAACCCTTTAGCATGGAGCTACCGGAGGAGTTATTAGAAGCATCTTAATATTTCTTGTTTTCCAATACCCTGAACTCCCCAAAAGGCATGTGCTGTCTTTTTGGGTTTGCTTATCTGCGAGGTAATGTCTCACTCACAGTGACCAGCAGAGGAAAAATCATTGGATTCGCTAGGTAAGATGCTTTCTTCTTCCTATGCTTTAATCTCTACTTACTGATGAAAGCAATTGCTTGTCTGGGGCTGATGAGTTTTCTTACTCTGGCAAATGGAGCAGTCCTTCCCAGTGTCGGTCTGTAAATCAGTAGCTGGCCATTTGATTTTGAGCTTTCTGAAAACAAATTGGCTTTTTGTTTCCAAATTGCAATTGGAGGCAATTGGGAAATACTAGATATTTAACTTTCCCCCACATGGCTTTGTCTGCAATTATCTCTATATGCATATAAAGCAAATCCTTCCCACTAAACCACATTTTGGTCTTTTAAATTGCTGAAAGTTTACCATTTTGAATGAAACACCTACTTTTGAGGTGGAGTGGGAGGTTGGCTTTGACTCTGTGCCGTTTATGTGACAAAGAGCCCCTGCCAGAGCAGCCACCGGAGTGCTGCTGCTTTGTGACTGGTGAATTATCCAGTTCCTCTTCCCAGGGACCAAAATCCATCACCTGCTGAGGGCAAAGCCTGGAATTACCAGTGAGGAGAGGGAGCTGGGTGTATGTGTGTGTATGTGTGTGTGTGTCTGCACATGGGCTGGGCAGGAGGAAAGTCTGCTGGTTTAAACTGAGCCGTAACTCGCTCTCGGGATGTAGATTGTAAATCAGCGCTATTTTTCCTCCTGTGACCATATAAATGCGCATATTGAAACTACCTGCTTGAGAGACATACTTCTTTATATGCCCATATGAACCTGGCAAGCTATGGAATGTAAAGAAGTATGTATTTCAGGTGGGAACCCTTCTCAGAGGAGCGATGTGTGACCCTGGGCAAAGCGGGGGAGAAAGACAGACACATTATTTGATATTATTATTTCTTATTTAACTGCCTGACCTGGCAGCCCGACTGGGGAGTCAATTGATGGTCTTGTTCCAGCGCGTGTATTGTTCTGTCACTTTGCCTGTGTCAGCAGGTGGAAATGCTCATCAGGACATTAAATATTCAATATGCTGACTGCGGCATGGGCTTTGAAAGGCGATGCCAGAGGAAAGCTGGCTGGCCGCTCCTGGGTTTTAACAGGGATGCAGGCCAATCGCTCCTTTTTCCTGCTTCCCCACCAACCCTTTCCCCCCACCTCAAAACCAGGGCAATAGGTAGCAAACAGAGACGGCTGATCTTTAAATATAGGACAAACAAAAGGAGATGAAGGTGGAGGGAGAAGAGACAGAAAAAGGATCCAACAGTTGTGACTCGGGTGTGCAGTGTTCCAGCTTTAAATTAACGTGCAAATTCCGCTTCTCTAGTCTTTCCTATGTTGAAACTTTTTGTGCTTGAAACTGGAGAGAAGGAGATCTTCCCTATCGGTGTGGCGAGTCTGCAGATCACAGCTAAAGCCAGAGGAGTGTTCTTGGATACAAGGGTTTTATTTCCCAAGGAAAATAAGAAAATTAGCTCCTTTAGTTCTGGAAGCCTTCACTGGCTTTTGCTTTTCCTTGTTAACCTTTTGCAGTGTAAAATAGTTGGGTGTTTTTTCAGGATCCTACAATAATCAGGCAAGATGAAAGGAGATGGGTTTTAACACGCAGGTGGGAGTCGTATCTGCGGATTTAAAGTTTTCAGTCCCAAACGTCCTCACTCTTCTGTGATGCCTTTAACACCAGGCAAAGCCGAACTCCTCAGATAGCCGCTTCTCAGCTGCCCTAACTCACAGTCCCATCTCCATGGGGCAGCTGAGAGCAGCGTTTTGATTTTGGGTGATTTCCCAGCAATTGCAACAGCCCTCTTCATTTGGCTAACGGGCTCCCAAGGCATCATTTGATAGGTGTGATGCCTCCACACCCTGCACCAAGGTTAACCAAGCCTTGCCCATCACAGCATCCTCTCCTAGGCATGGGGAGAGGACAAGACTTGAAGGTTG